TTACAAGTTACATTCATGTTGCGGCTTTTTGATTTATTTGTTACTTTGAAAGTAACCAACGGTGAGAGGGGAGCTGGTCCAGTGAATCACTGCAAAGTGGGCAGGTAACGTTAGGCCCGCCTTCCAGAAGAGCTGGGCCAATGACATATATTCTAGTATATATGTCAGTGAGCTGGGTAAATGGTAAATGAACTGTACTTATATAGCGCCTTTCTATCTTATTTCAAGATACTCAAAGCACTTTACAACAATCTGTGTCCTCATTGACCCATTCATACAGCTCTATACTAGATCTCTACAAAGCTAATTGAACAAATCATTCTAAAGAGACTAATCAGTGCTTTATCACATTCAAACACCGATGGGACACACATCAGAGGCTATGAGGGGTTCAGGGTCTTGCCCAGGGACACTTCGACATGTGACTGCTGGTGGATTCAAACCCCCAACTCTTGCATTGGAGGACGACTGCTCTAACCACTCAGCCACAGCTGATGCACCCACAGCACCACTAACACACCCAAAATCTATTCCACTGCAAGAGAGTCACCCAGAAGATATGCTCCACCCATGGCCTTATTGAAAGACTGTTCAGTACAACAGGACAGATTCTCTCTTCCAAGAGCCAGACTGGACTCAAAAATATTTGAAAACCAACTTCTGAACTTGAACAAGAAATTCTTGCTGCAATATTAAAATGTGTCAGTTCATGGGATGTTAGGAGACAAGAGATGTCTCCAAATGTCTCGACACTCAGGTCCAAGTTTTAAAGATGGTGTCAGGAAGTTAAAATACTGTTCAATATTGACCCATTACAAGGTTTAGACAGTATTTTAACTAGAGTTGATGACAAACTGGAGTTAAAATATCAATGGAAATGATCAGAGCCTGTTCCTTTGTTAGTTGTGTCTAATGTTTCTTTTGTTCAGACAGACAACTTTTACTTAAATGTGTTTACTGCAGTTAAAACGACACAATGGTTTTGATTTGTGTGAAATAAAAACTTTCAAAGGTAAAATCATTCCTCCTTCTTATTTTGATTAATGACATTTAACTCTGCAGGTCATCCCTGAAATTCTGACACAGAATCACAAGTCCAAGAGTGAACTGTGTCACAGAGTAAACACAATAAAAACATGTATTATCTGCAGCATTGTTCATTAAAATGGAACAACACTATTAATGTATTAATGTATTACAGAAAATATACATATGGTAGGCAGACGTAAAGATATGTAGACCATTACATTATGTAATACATTCAGCAAGTATTTTACTTTTAATACTTTAAGTATTTTAAAAGCAAGTACTTATTTACTTTTACCTAAGTAAAAATAGTAATGTGGTACTTCTACTTTTACTAGAGTACATTTTGTCTGTTTATTTGTACTTTTACTTAAGTAGTGTTTGAGTATTTTCTCCACCACTGTATATATGTGTATATGAGTACACATATATGTGTATGTGTGAGAGAGAGAGAGAGAGAGATTGTGGCTGCAAACTTAAAATTATTGGTATATCTCCAGGCCAGACCTTCTTTGCAAACCAATGTTGGATTTGTTCATGAGAACAGGTGTGGCTGTTGGACAGGGCAGAACGTATTAGAAACACATTTCCTTGTGTGTTTCAGTAGGAGCAATAGGAACCGAGGTGTGTGTATCTGTTTTCATGACCTTACTAGCACCTTTATTAAAAAAAGACACACCTCATCAGGACCTGAAAATCTAGAAACTTGTGAATGGAGGGCAAACTGCAAACACTTACCTTTTTAGATATTCTGTTTCCTCTAGGTGTGTGTTCAGAGGAGCGTGAGTGCATTAGAAGGGTAGTTTTAAAAAGGAGAGTTCAAATATTTTCTAACTGAGTCAGCCCCATAGACTCAGCAACGTGGTGCTCGCTCGTGTAGCACTTTGTTTTTGTAGGTTAGCATGAAGTACATCGCCTGCTTTGTCCCATTTATTGACTCTAGTCCACAGGAAAAAAAAAAAAACTGTTCTAATTTCCAGTGAGTTAATGAACTTATTAAATGACCCAACCACAAACACCATCGGCTTGTCATTCAAACACAAAGACATGAAAAATGTAACATTAGAAGTCCTACTGAGGCAGTGCTGGAACATTTACAAACCAGGTCAGTTTACACTATCTCTAACAACCCCCCCCCCCCCCCCACCACCACCACCACCACCACCACCCACACACGTTTAGACTATGTCCAATGGCATTAATAATTGACTGAAACCTAATAAACGTCTCAGCTCCACAGGTGTTTCTCTCTGTCTTCTGTTACTTCAGTACTTTTACAAAATGTTCTGTTACTTCCGTACTTTTACAAAACAGACAGCATTAGTTGTGATCAGATATCTTTACTCAGTCAGTGGAAAGGTAACGTTTCATGACGGTTATTTTCTGCTTATGAGCTCATTTAATCCAAAACAGTGAGATGTAAAAGTATTTTCCATTTTTATAATCTCTGCTCTGAAGGAATAAACACAAGAGGTAAAGAAGAAAGTACGGAAGAAATGCAAGAAGAGAAGGTTGAAATTTTCTAAACTGTAGTGAAAACCTAAAAGAAGTGAACTAAAGTCCAATAAACTCATCTTGATTAGTTTTGAACAAAATGTTTCTGAAGAATATTGTACTGACATTTTACAAAAGTAAAACACAGAACTGCAGGTTTAAAGTTTTGAACAGTCTTTATTGTCTTAATCATTCATTTCAAAATAAACATCTCCTTTTAAATAAATCTAAAATAATTTAAACTGACACTGTAAATGGCTTAAAAAGCCCAGGAACTGTTTGTCTGCTTTAAGTCATGTTTGGTTTGGTTTATTACTCAGCAAGGTAACAAAGTCCGCACCGTGGTGCGTAATGAGTCAGGGGATCTTGTTCCTGAACCGCCTGAAGGCCTCACTCAACCTTCCTTCGTTTCTTTATCAAACGTCTGCTTCTCCATTCCTGACCAGTGAGAGCAGAAAGGCTCTTTGAGGAGGCGGAGACTAAAATGAACAGGAACTGAACAGTTTACTGACTGAACATAAAACGTACTGCAGCAACATGTAAAGTAATGTGTGAAATAAAGTGTTTTTAAACCAGAAAACATGGTGACATACAACTTCTTACTAGTTGAGAGATTTGTGAGATATTTTACTAACAGTACAGAGACTCAAACATGCCCACATACACGGAGAGGCAAACACATGGTCCCTTTTGGCAGCGGGTGATGATAAACCTCTTCAGGACACAAACAGGTACAGAATCATCTGACAGTCACAATGAGAGGAAATTCTGACTTTCTGTGCTTAAACTCCAAACTCCAACTGTTTCAGGACCTGCAGACATTTGGTGCTGCAGACCAAATGCGAAGCCAACAGGATCCAGTTTACAGAAGCGGCCATTCTGCCATCCAGAGATATGGAGTATTAAGTCCTGCCTACCCCCCCACCCCCAGTACAGCTGAACGTGTTAGAAACATGAACATTTGAACACAGAGCAGCGACACAACAGCTACATGAATCAACCAGTGTTAAACTAATTATTCAAGGTGGATTTGTTGTTTAGAAGAAAAACCATGTCTCATTGAGTTACATGGAGGGGGCGGGGCTTAAAACTTGTACCGTTGGTCCCATTCTGACTTCAACTTCTCGGTTCTCATCAGAGGTCTGTCAGTCTAGCTAACCTTCACGACAGATCTGAATCGTCTTTGACTGGAAGAACCTCCGTTTTTCTTCTAGCTTCTCCTCGAGGCACTGGATGAGAACAGGATCCACTTTGGGATCAAACTTATTGGCGAACCAGTGGCCATAGTTGAGTAACCAATGCATTTCTGCTGCACCAAATATACAAACGCTGCGAATGTGTTCCCCGGTGCACGGAGGGTAAAGGCTCTCCTCCAGGTAGTGCCACTTCACCAGCCTGGTCTTACTCATCAGGTCCGTGACATCAGGCAGGGATCGAGGCACCTCACCAGGAACCCCGGGCAGTCGCACCAGTGTGGCCCAGAAGTGCTCATCTGGAGAGTAGGTGTCCTCTGACCAGGCCAGGAAGTCCCTCACTACATCCGAGGAGTTCAAATGCACAACGAACTCACGCGACAACACAAAATATGCGTTGCCGATGAACATTTCTATTCCGTGTGGCGGGGGGCTCTTGGCCTGCTGTGTTTTCACGGGCAGCTTCTGATACTCGAAACTCATGTCTTTCAGCTCATGGTGGAACGTGAACCTCTGCCTCTTCGCCTCAGACGGTCTGCTGGTCTCCAACATGTTGGAGCCGTTTAACTTCCTCAGCTCCGACACCAGCTCGATGTTGGACTTGAGGGGGAAATCCTGGCCGCACAGATTCACCACGTACTTCCATTTGACTGTTGACCTCGTGAGCTCGGTCAGACAGTTGAGGTCAGCCTTCAATCGGCTGATGCTTGCGTAAAAGACGGCCTCTCGCTTACTGGCGATGAACACGTTGGGCAGGCAACTGGACAAACCCTCCATGGCGGAGGTGAACTGAGCAGAGGACTTCTGATCATAGTGAATGCAATAAATATTGTTGGGGGAGTACGTAGCCCTGATGAGCCTCTCCACCATCCAGGCGTTTTTATGCACAACCAAAGAATAAGCCAGAGGAAAGTCTCTCTCTTCCTCCGAAATGCACACTTCGTCATAACCTCTGACCCGGGTGAAGATGGAGCAGTTTCCTGTGAGATGCAACAGAGTTTCGTCTTTATCCTCCACCATCTTTTTCCTTCTGATAATTAGGGATTTACCCACTTCCACTGGGTCCAGGTTATAAATAGCAGAGCAATTAATGTTGTGTTTGAAATACGTCTGCAAGTCCGAAGCTCCTGAGAGATCCGAGTACTCGAGGACAGTATTGTACTTGACTCTGACCAGGAGCAGGGCGCTCAGCATCAGCAGAGACACGAGCGAGGGGACGAACTGCTTTCTCGTCAGGAACTGGATCAAACGTGTCGTCCTCATCCTGCGGGGACGAAAAAAACATATTTGAAGAACAGGAACCAAAATTCTGAACTTCACCCACAGTACAAGTTAAAGTCAGCAACATGAAACAAACGTTGTTAGTAGTGAAGAGGCGGTAGCTTCATTTAACGAAATGCTCCTCAGCATTTCTGCCCGATACGTTGGGATTTATTTTGTTCTCTTCTCAAGAATCAACCACTAAAGTTAAAGGGAGATGTTTTTGCTTCGTGTGTGCGTTCATTTTTCTGCACCTCTTGAACCGATAAACAGATCGTAATCAATGGATGTTCGTTTTACAGACGTCGAGCCTGGTGTGGTAGTAGCTGAAAGTCATCCGTGACTAATTCTGAAGGCTGCGCTTTGTCAAATGTTGGAAAGTTTGGTGATAATTGCTGGAGTCAACTCTGTCTGTTAGCAAATAATGGTCGTTTAGTCGGGGGTTCAATCCACTGTCCATGTGTTGGGCATTAGTATCATGGGCAACAAACACACTGAACTGAACACTGAACTACACATGGTGTATACGTGAAAATATACAAATACTGTATACTACAGTGCATGGATTAGAAGTCACTGGGTTCCCCATCCTGAGCCCAGTTCTACTGGAGGTTTCTTCCTGTTAAAAAGCACCGGTAGTCATTTCTTTCCACTCTTGCCAGTGTGCTCAGAGTGGGAGGTTGTGGAGAATCAATCTGACGACTTACTTAGACAGATACATTTTACTGGTTGGTGTTTTATGTGGTATGTGAATGTTTCTGTGCACTGAGGCAACATTTGTTGCAAATTAGCATTTTATAAATAAACTGAACTGGCGCCGAAGGACAAACGTAAAGCACTTTGAACCTACAGAAGATAGTCAGTGTGGAACATTTACACTCTGATGGACTCCTTGTTAGTCTGCCTTCAGGCAGGCCCAGTTTCAAAAGGTGAAACTTGTATATTATATTCATTCATTACACACAGACTGATATATTTCAAATGTTTATTTCTTTTAATGTTGATGATAACTGACAACTAATGAAAACCCCAAATCCAGTATCTCAGAAAATTAGAATATTACTTAAGACCAATAAAAAAGGATTTTTAGAAATGTTGGCCAACTGAAAAGTATGAACATGAAAAGTATGAAAATGAAAAGTATGAGCATGTACAGCATCAATACTTAGTTGTTGCTCCTTTTGCCTGGATTACTGCAGCGATGCAGCGTGGCATGGAGTGGATCAGTCTGTGTCACTGCTCAGGTGTTCTGAGAGCCCAGGTTGCTCTGATAGTGGCCTTCAGCTCTTCTGAATTGTTGGGACTGGTGTATCACATCTTCCTTTTTACAATACCTCATAGATTTTCTATGCAGTTAAGGTCAGGTGAGTTTGCTGGCCAGTTAAGAACAGGGATACCATGGTCCTTAAACCAGGTACTGGTAGCTTTGGCACTGTGTGCAGATGCCAAGTCCTGTTGGAAAATGAAATCTGCATCTCCATAAAGTCATTCAGCAGCAGGAAGCATGAAGTGCTCTGAAACTTCCTGGTAGATGGCTGAGTTGACCTTGGACCTCAGAAAACACAGTGGACCAACACCAGCAGATGACATGGCAGCCCAAACATCACTGACTGGAAACTTGACAGTGGCCCTCAAGCAACATGGATTCTGTGCCTCTCCTCTCTTCCTTCAGACTCTGGGACCTTAATTTCCAAAGAAAATGCAAAATTTCCTTTAATCAAAGAACATAACTTTGGACCACTCAGCAGCAGTCCCAGGCGAGACACTTCTGACAAGTGTTTCTTGTTCAAGAGTGGCTTGACACAAGGAATGTGACAGATGAAACCCTTGTCTTGCATACGTCTATGCATGGTGGTTCTTGAAGCACTGACTCCAGCTGCAGTCCACTCTTTGTGAATCTTCCCCACATTCTGGAATGGGTTTTGTTTCACAATCCTCTCCAGGGTGTGGTTATCACTATTGCTTGTACACTTTTTTCTACCACATCGTTTGCTTCCCTTCACCTCTCTATTAATGTGCTTGGACACAGAGCTCTATGAACAGCCAGCCTCTTTAGCAATGACCTTTTGTGTCTTGCCCTCTTTGTGCAAGGTGTCAATGGTCGTCTTTTGGACAAATGTCAAGTCAGCAGTCTTCCCCATGATTGTGTAGCTACAGAACTAGACTGAGACCATTTAAAGGCCTTTGCAGGTGTTTTGAGTTAATTATCTGATTAGACTGTGGCACCAGGTGTCTTCAATATTGAACCTTTTCACTAAATTCTAATTTTCTGAGATACTGAATTTAGGGCTTTCATTAGTTGTCAGTTATAATCATCAACATTAAAAGAAATAAACATTTGAAATATATCAGTCTGTGTGTAATGAATGAATATAATATACAAGTTTCACTTTTTGAAGTAAGTAAGTAAAACTTTATTTCTATAGCACCTTTCACAGACATATGGATCACAAAGTGCTTCACAAAGGCAAGGCAATTCAAACAAAACAAACAAACAAACAAGATTAAGTAAAAGCCTGTCTGAATAAAAATGTACATCTTTTGGCATCAGTCCAATTCAAGATGTCTTCTTCAGACGATCAGCTTTGGCCAGTACAGAACATGCTCTGTGTGAAATGTACAGATGCAAAGGTGTCAGTTGGTGTGACAATAGCTGACTGTTGTAATATACAGGTGCTGGTCATAACATTTGAATATCATGAAAAAGTTAAAACAACTTTTTCATGATATTCAAATGTTATGACCAGCACCTGTATATTACAACAGTCAGCTATTGTCACACCAACTGACACCTTTGCATCTGTACATTTCACACAGAGCATGTTCTGTACTGGCCAAAGCTGATCGTCTGAAGAAGACATCTTGAATTGGATTGATGCCAAAAGATGTACATCCAGTCATTACTTCTGGAGAGTTTCATCATTTTCTGTCCACTGGATAATGAGATATTTTGCTAACAGACAAACAGGACTGACTCCAACATGTAAACAAACATGTCACACAATGTGTGGCGTTTAAAGCACATGTTGTGAAGTCAGCTTAGCTCCTCCCACACCAGGTTTGTAAAACTGAATTGTAGCCATTTTTCTGTTAGCTGTGGCGACCATCTTTGATTGGACTGGCTCCAAAAGTTAATCAGTTGCTGATGCACATCGGGTCATTACTTTGAGTGTTTTAATCCAATCTGTTCACTGATTAAGACATTTTGCTAACAGAGAGATCAAGGCTTAAAGTCGCTAAATTGCAGCTAAAAGATAAAAATTAATAAAACTAAACTAAAGCAAATGTAAATATTGGCAAATTTAAAATCAACCGTCATCAGTCAAATTGCTGCACAATAAATAAAAACACAATATTGAAATCACATCCATATGTGAATTGTTAAAACGGCACAAAGCAGGAAGTTGTTTGACTGCAAAAGAGGAAACTGAGTCAAAAATTGGTGTGAATGCAGTTTTCACTAAGGAAGAAAGACCTCCTGCTTCCTGGAGTTAAATATGACCCGGAACTTTATATGACCCAGAACTTTATATGACCCGGAACTTTATATGACCCGGAACTTTATATGA